AAAAAAAAAAAAAAAACAAAAACAAAAAAAAAACAACAAAAAAAAAAACACCATAAAAAAAAATTCAAAAACTTTGTAGTATCAGGACTCCTTTGTGTTCTCAAAATTCAGGACTCCCAAGAGCTTTTGTTAATGTGAGTTATAAATACCAATATTTACCATATTAAAAATTACATGAGAAATTTTTAACTATTTATTAATTCATTTTAAAATTTTAATAACATATTTAATGACAAATAACATTTTATGAAAAATTTCCTAAACGAAAAAAAAAAGCTTAGTGACAAAAGTGATATTGTTTCACAACTTTTGCAGATCTCTTTCAGGTCTAGCTAGAAGACAACTGGATTTTCATATCTACTTCCACATTCAATCTGTTGTGATATACTGTTTTGCTTGAACTATGTGGGGAAAAAAGCACTACACAAATGTTTACTGAGAAATAAAAGTACATGTTACTACTAATAGCCTTTTCAGATAACTGTGGATGTTTTTTGATACTACACCAAAACCTGACAAGCAGCAGTTAAAGTTAGCTATAATATGAAATCTAAAATCACATGAACGTTTTGTATTGTTACTTGCTTTTATAAGGGTCTTTTCCCATAATTTTGTAACAATGATCACTTTTTAAATATCGGTTCATTGAGTTATAAAGATATTCCAAATCATGGCATAATTAATTTCATAGCAAAAACTCACATTCATTAATATCACTATCCATCCCATCAGGAAAACCTTTATAAATTGGAAAGCTGATGAGAGCAGAGCAGGTGATACAAGTTAACCAAAATTTTAATTTTCACTTCTAAGATCAAATTTTATCCTTGGCAACAAATACTGTCAATTGTTTTCCCTGAAGAGCAGTCTCACTTGGTTCATTTTCAAGAAAATTGCTGCCAAATATCTAACTCTAAATAATCAGTTTGTCTGGTAGTCATTCTTTCAAGTAAAAATGATATTTCATGAAAAATACTGCTAGTTCAGCTAGCAACTCAAAAAAAAATCGCTTAAGAGTTTTCCGTAAGAAAACCAATGTAC